GCCATTGATTCTGACATGAGTTTGAGCGGTAGGACATTCACTCTAACCTATAAACTTCCAAAATACATCTTAGTTCTTGAATATTGTTTATCTTTCGAAATTTATTCTAGAATTGGAAAATTCCTATCAAAACTCTATAGTATACCCTATAACATTGTGTCAACATCTCGCTTTGATGCGGAAAAAACATACAAATATTTTTGTCTAGACTTTGTATCATGATGGATTCTTGAGTGTCAACACTTTGGACCATTGCGCTCTTGAAAGTCTACATATTAAAAGAGTTAAAAACCCATAGCTTTCCAGCCATATTTTTTTAAGATCCCCACTCCCTCCCTATTCCTACCTCCTTATCTACTGTCACCATATCCTCTTCCCTTTTTTATAACAATATGTACTGTGATATCTCCATCACTTAGATTAAAATTGAAGAAAACATACAACACTATTTGTTGGTAACTTCAGGGATAACCATAATCTGGTAGGAAGCAAGAACCTAGACTGTTAGAACATAATTTGGTTCTACATCCCAGCAAGAGTTTTGATGATAACAAACACATGATATAAAGAACAAATATGCTTGCTAATAAAAAGTATCTTTACATGCAGGATGTTCTGATGTTAAAAAGATGTTCTGATGAAACTGGAAGTTCTTCCAGAACATCACCAGAAGTTCTGATTATGCGAGCACAGAAGTTGAGAGGACAATGAAAGATTCAGACGCATCAAATATGCATGACACGCTTATATGAAGAAGTTCTATTTGAACTTCTGAATGCACCAGCGCTGCGAAACAGAATCTCTGATACTCTGATGTGCAAAGTTATGATCAAGCTGTAAAGGACTCTCAACTGTAATATTCATACTATGATGTAAGAAGCTCTGAAGCGTTACAATCTATCAATGCAAGATCATAAGTAACAGCTACAAACAGACAAGGATCTCCTGATTTGGAAATCTCATTAGCGCGTGTTATGGACATACCAAAAGTATCTTCTTATGTCACTATTGCAAGGCCTATTTATAGGTGAAAAGAAGAAGATTTCAAGATGATGAACAATTGCGCTCATAAAGAAAAACTCACGTGAAAAAGTAAACAATGCAGCTTTCATTCTTCATCTTCAATGATTCAATATTAAACTGTGTAATACATCACAAGTTTGTGATACTGTTTATTTAGAAACATCATATTACACTTTTATTCAATTAACTGTTTAGTGAAATTCCTTGAGAAAACGGGGTTGTGGTTTTGGACTCAAGAAGACTTTAACAATTGTTAAAGTAGAATTGTAATCAGTTTGATTAGTGAATTAAGTCCTCGTTGTAGAGAGGCGAAATCACCTTGGCGGGTGGAATGGAGTAGTTTGAGATCAAATGAACCATGATAAAAATATCGTGTCTATTGCTTTTGATTTTAAGTTTCAATTTAACCCCCCCTTCTTGTGTTTTTCACTTCTTCAATTGGCATTAGAGCACCTGGATCTGGGTGCAAACACTTAATCGTGTCAAATAAAAGATCCAAAGGGGGAAAAACTATGATAGGAACAAGTCAGAACATCAGCAGCAACCCTCCAATTTTTTACAGTGAAAATTTTGACTACTGGAAAGATATGATCAGAAGTTTCTTCCTAGCCTATGACGTTGACCTCTGGGATATGGTAACTGATGGATACATATATCCTGTTGATTAAAGCGGTCAGAAGATTGACAGAAAAAGGATTACAGATTATCAAAAGCAAGACTTCAGAAATCATCACAAAGCCAGAATAATTCTCCTGAGTGCCATCTCATATTCAGAGTATGAGAAGATCACAAACAAGGAAACATCTAAGAACTTGCTTGATTCTCTAATAATGACGCATGAAGGCAACATGCAAGTAAAATAAACTAAAGCCATGGCGCTCATTCAGAAATATGAAGCGTTCAGAATGGAAGAAGACGAAACCATTAAAACAATGTTCTCTAGATTCCAAACACTGGTGGCAGAGCTAAAGGTGCTGGACAAAGGGTACTCAACTGCTGATCATGTAAAGAAGATCATCAGAAGTTTACCAAAACAATGGAGACCAATGGTCACGGCTCTCAAACTTGAAAAAGATCTGAGCATAATATCTTTGGAAGAACTTGTCAGCTCCCTCAGAAGCCATGAGATATAGTTAGAGGATGATGAGCCTCAGAAGCAATGTAAGTCTCTCGCTCTGAAATCTAACAAATATGAAACCAAAATTTTACAGGCAGAAGCAGAAAATTCTGGAGAATCCTCGTCAAAAGAAGATGAACTATTCTTTCTATTCAGAAGAATCAATCAGCTATGGAAGCACAGGCATAAGAATTTCAGAAACTCCAGAAGAACAGGAAATGACTCTGAAAAATTCTATGGATACAAAAAATCAAGTAACAAAATCATTACCTTCTATGAATGTAATAAACAAGGTCACTACAAAAGTGATTGTTCAAGGCTTCAGAAGGAGAAACATAAAGGGAAGTTCGTTAAGGAGAAGAAGAAAAGTCTTATGGAAACATGGGATGACTCTGAATCTTCTGAAGACGGAACAAAATCAGAAGATGAACAAGCCAATATAGCTCAAACTGACAACTTATTAGATGTCTCCGAATCTTCTGAATCTAAATCAGAATTAGAATCATACGCTGAAGAGGTATTTCCTGAATTTACTGTTAATTTTACTAAATCTGGACTAGGAGAAATTCTGAGTGAAATTTTGGAAAGATATCAGCAACTTCAAGTTAAATTCAAGAACCTGGAAAGGGATCTTTCTTCTGACTCTGAAGAAACTGAGTCTGAGATCAGAAAACTCTGAGTTAAAAGAAAAGATTTCAAAACTAAAAAATTATTTACAAAACTCTCATAAGGAAATAATCTTAGAGGACTCCAGTAATGCTGATAAGATCATAAAGGAATATGATCAAAGCTTTCAGAAGTTTCTGGCTAAAAACATAGATAGAAGCAAAATGACTTCAATGATCTATGAAGTTAGCAGGAACGGAAGAATAGGTATAGGATACAAAGGCAAAGCATCCCAACCTAAGAAAGTTAAGGATCTGGTTATCAAACGCACTCCTTTCTATTCTCACTTCACCACTGGGCAAACACATGATATAAAACATACTGGTAAGGCGTTTTATACTAAACCAACATTCAAACAGAATTTTGGAAACTCTAACTGTCATGGACCCAGAAAGATATGGGTATCAAAAGACAAAATCATCTATGTTGCAGATATTTTTAACAGCAAGGTTGAAACTCCAGTATTAACACCTGGACTCTGGATGCTCTCTACACATGGAGGAAAGAAAGCATATGTTCCAAAGCTTGGAATTTAAAAGATTCGCAGGTTTCAGAGGCAATCAGAAACAGAAGATTACTAGCTCTGAAACTATTTGAAACAGGAATGGAAATACAACATCAGAAGCTCTCTAAAGAATCTCAGATGTATCCAGAAGAGGATGTCACACTGTTTCAAGCACTTCTGTCAGAGCAAGCCAATCAGAGTCTTTACCAATTTTTTATTCTTGACAAAAAGGGGGAGAATGGAGAATATTTTGACTCATAATCAGAAGATCGTCAGGGAAGTATTTTATTTTCTCGTTAGCTGAGTACTATACTCAGGGGGAGCCTTCCTTTTAATTTTTCTTCTTTATATTCCATCAAAATGTACTAGTTTTTGTCATCATCAAAAAGGAGGAGATTGTTAGAATATAATTTGGTTTTACATCCCAGAAAGAGTTTTGATGATAACAAACACATGATATAAAGAATAAATATTCTCGCTAATAAAAAGTATCTTTACATGCAGGATGTTCTGATGTTAAAAAGATGTTCTGATGCAACTGGAAGTTCTGCCAGAACATCACCAGAAGTTCTGATTATGAGAGCACAGAAGTTGAGAGGATAATGAAATATTCAGACGCGTCAAATATGCATGACACGCTTATATGAAGAAGTTTTGTTTGAACTTCTGAATGCACCAGCGCTGCGAAACAGAATCTCTGATACTCTGATGTGCAAAGTTATGATCAAGCTGTAAAGGACTCTCAACTGTAATATTCATACTCTGATGTAAGAAGCTCTGAAGCGTTACAATCTATCAATGCAAGATCATAAGTAACGGCTACAAACAGACAAGGATCTCCTGATTTGGAAAGCTCATTAACGCGTGTTATGGACATACCAAAAGTAACTTCTTGTGTCACTATTGCAAGGCCTATTTAAAGCTGACAAGAAGAAGATTTCAAGATGATGAACAACTGCGCTCATGAAGAAAAACTCACGTGAAAAAGTAAACAATGCAGCTTTTATTCTTCATTTTCAACGATTCAATATTAAACTGTGTAATACATCACAAGTTTGTGATACTGTTCATTTAGAAACATCATTGTACACTTTTATTCAATTAACTATTTAGTGAAATTCTGAGAAAATCGGGTTGTGGTTTTGGACTCAAGAAGACTTTAACAATTGTTAAAGTAGAATTGTAATCAGTTTGATTAGTGAATTAAGTCCTCATTGGAGAGAGGCGAAATCACCTTGGCGGGTGGACTGGAGTAGTTTGAGATCAAACGAACCAGGATAAAAATATCGTGTCTACTGCTTTTGATTTTAAGTTTCAATTCAACCCCCTTCTTGTGTTTTTCACTTCTTCATAGACAAGTGCTGGAAGAAACCCTAGACAATTAGTAAGAACCTAGACAAGTGCTGTTAGAAACCCTGGACAATTAGGGGGTAAAGACACGATAAATTTAGAAAGAGAGAGAAGACCTAAGCATTCTAGAAACACGTGGAAGGATTTTTCAAGAAAATGCATCCCTCCATTGAACTTCACAAAATAACACATTTGAACAAAGTAACTTACATAATAAAAGATGACATATAAAACCTACACAGAAATCCTCATTATCACAAATAACACATTATTTGAACAAAGTATAGTACATAAAAGATGAGATGTAAAGCATACACACAAATCCTAATTAACACAAATTCACAATCTTGCTGATGTGAACAATCCATATAAATCCTCAAAGAAAAGCTTCTTGAAAAGCTCCATCAACTCAACCTGAAAATGCATACACACAATAACAGAACCATCTCCATCAGGACTCAATAGAATCAATCCCCTATCATGTGGAGAGACATGTCCAATTCCAAAGCAAAATGGTTTTCCCCACCCAAAATCAACTTTATATGCAGGAAAATTCAACCAACTTGTTATACGAAGATTAGGATTCCCATAATATGTTGCATTCTTACCTTCTCCACCTATAAACAATTTCCTTGCATCATCCAAATGCTCAAAACCTCTAATAACATCAATCTGTGATCTTATATACTCATTTGTTATCAACTCATTTGCTTCTCTTATCTTCATTGCAACATAACTCAAAGGCTTTGATGTGATATCTCCAATATACCCTTTTGCTGAAGTTTGAATCAAAGCATTCCCATAATAATTCTTAGGAAGATTTGGACTTATTCTATTTCTAATTTCAACATTGAATCTAACAACACTTTGTTGATTCTCTTCGAGATCACGCGCCTTAGATGCACTTTTCCATATATGTGCACTAATTTCTTCAAAGCTACTATAAGGCCTTGACCCTTTTGGAATACCAAATTCATTAGCCTTTTTCTTCAACTTTTCAACTTCTTCTACCGTGAGTTTCAACAACTCAGCTGTTGTTTTCTTCTTTCTTTCAATATTGGTGTCAGATCTTCCTAGAATGAGTGGTGGTGGCTTCAACTCTTCGTGTTCGAAAAGCAGTTCTAAAGGAGTGTGCGACAATTTGAGAAGTTTTCTATCTAAAAAGGGTATTTCATTAGAATTTAATGTTTCACCTCTTGCTATTTTGGCCCATGAATTCAAGAAGTTTGAAAAACCAACACCATCAGATAAAGGGTGAGAGTAAGCAACTCCAATAGCAAATACAAAGCTTTCATCTTTGTTTGAGAATCTTGTAACTTGAACAACAAGCAACGGAATTTCCTCGATGGGTTGACCATAATCGATTTTTGGAATAAGCTCCTTTGTAGAGTCAGAAGGTGAAAAGTCACCATATTCATGAACTGTTTTTGTGGTTTCAGCTTCTGTCAAAACAGCTCCTTTTGCATTGAGATTCAATTCAACTCGACCGCCTTTTGCATAACAATATCGACCCGCTATAGGATAGTAGTGAACAAGAATCTTGCTGAGAGAGTTTTTTAAGGTTTCAATGACATTTTCTGGAATCTGTTTTGGTTTGTAAATGAAAATAAGTGGTGTGTGGCTTAGACGCACAACTTGATCTAAATCAGAGAGCCATAAAGAACCATTTGGAGTTGATTCATTTGGAGTCACACCGTAAGAAGCTTTTATGGTTACCATTTTTGATTTCTTGGTATTTTTGTTTTTCTATATGCTCTTGTGATTCATAGAATTTTCATCATAAAAGTCACCGGAGGGGAATTTTCTTGTAGCGTGCAAGGCCGGTTGATATCTCTAAGTCTCTTTATATTATTTTATTTGTCAAAACTAGTTTTTGTTTCTATATTCAATTCCGTTTTCTTTAATATTTTGCTTCATTATTGTAGTTGATACTTCTCAACTATTTTACTTTTGTATGTAATTAATGTTGGAACATGTACGAGATAAGTTGGTGAATTAATGATGAAAAGCGGTTAATTGGAGAAGATGTAGTTAAAGAGAATTTGAAGATTATGAGAGCGAGAGTAATTGATGAGAAAAGTTATTATGACATTAGTTTCAAACAAATGTTACACGAGGGTTTATATAAGATATCACAAAAATACTATTTGAAATCAAATAGGCTCAAGAAAACTGCAAATACTCAAAATATCGCGCTGGAAATCGATTTCCCAAAATAGCAGAATCGATTTCCTGAATTGACAACGCAAATCTCATTAAAACACAATTGTGGAAATCGATTACCCACTTTGTGGAAATCAATTTCATCTTCGAAAGTTTCAAATTTCAGATTTTCAAAAGTGCTTCTCAAATAAGTTGTTTTAAACTAAACATTTCCTGAAGCTTCTACAATACACTTGAATTACTTTTAAACTTCCAATACACCACCTTAATTCAAATGTTCTAAGCTCTTCATTCTTAAACTCACCACAAGCTTCTTGAACACCACATTTGTTACACCTTTCATTAACAAATCCGCAAGTTGTTCTTCGCAACGATAATATCCTTACCTCAGCTGGCTTGCACACATCAGTTCCCTCAAGTAATGGAATCTCATCTTAATATGTTTGCTCCTCACATGTTCTATGGTATTTCTTGCAAGATTAATGTCTGAAACATTGTCAACCAAGAGTGTGACAACTTCTTCAACCTTGTTGCCCAACTCTTCCAACAGATTAACAAGACACACAGCCTGACACACACATATCACGAAACGATATACTCGGCCTTACAAGAAGTTAGTATCACCACAAGTTCCTTTTTAGAACACCAAGAGATTGGATCTCCTCCGAACATAAAGACATAACCAGTCGTAGACTTTCGGTCATCCTTATCTCCGCACCAATTGAAATTCGTGTAACCGAGTAAGTCACATTTTCTACCCATATCAGCTGTGGGAAAGAGTACTCAACAATCAAGAGTTCATTTGATGTATCTTAGGATCCTATTAACTGCTGCCAAGTGAGACACCTTTGGTCTCTCCATGAATCTACTGGCAATATCGATACTAAATGCCAAATTTGGCCGTGTATTGCACAAGGAACGTAATGATCCAATCAACCTCCTATATTGTGTTGGATCCATATTTTGCTAATCATCACTTTTGAACAACTGCAACCTTGCTTCAATAGGTGTTTTTGTAGGATTACAATGCTCGATATCACACCTTTTCAAAATCTCAAGAACATACTTTCTTTGATTCATGAGCAGTCCCAATTTTGACTTGTAGAACTCTATGCCAAGAAAGTAAGTCATGATTCCAAGACCACTCGTTTCAAATTATTCCATAAGCTCACTCTTGAACTTAGAAACATTCACTTCATTGTTGCTCGTGATCAATAAATCTTCCACATATAAGCAAAGTATGATCATATTTTTGCTTGCATTCGTCTTGATATAGACACCATATTTAGAAACACACTTCATGAAGCCAACTTCAACTAGAAAAGCATCAATGCGTTTATTCAAAGCTCTAGGAGCTTGTTTCAAACCATAAAGAATTTTTTTTTTAATTTGTAGACTCGTTTCTCTTGATTTGTCGCAACAAAACCAGCGGGATGCTCTACATAGACTTACTCCTCAAGTGGATTATTCAAAAATGTGGATTTCATATTTAGTTTATAAATTGACCAATTATTTCTATTCGCAATACCAACAACCACTTGTGTGATTTCTAATCTACCCACAGGTGGAAACACCTCATCATAGTCTATGCATTCTCTTTGCAAGAATCCCTTCGCAACTAGTCGAGCCTTATGCTTGACAATTTCTCCTTTTGGATTTGCCTTCACTTTATAGACCCATCTCACTCCGATTGGCTTTTTTTTTGTTCTGGTAGATCGACCAACTCCCAAGTACTGTCTTTCTCAATCGATTTTAACTCCTCTTTCATCACACACACCCACTTTGGATTGCTTAATGTCTCCTCTATAACACTCTCTAAAACCCCGAGAATAATATGTTATAGATCAGAGTAATATAACATACATATCAATTGAGGGTGTTACACATAATTCAAACATCACACATACACCTGTCATGCTCAATAACACTTAATTAAGATTCACGCTTTCCATACACTTTCAACTAGCATGTAGCAGCAGAAATATAATTATTTACAATTACAGTACTCGAATCTCATAAAACCTCATCCATTAAAACACTTAGGCATAAAAATTCAATTCACCACATAATTCAAATAAATCATAACAAAATAAAAATAGAGTATACAATGCATCTCTCAAAATATGAATTCAAACGTTTCCTCGTGTTACATAATCAGAGCATGACATAAAACCAAATGTAAAAATAAAATAAAGCTAACTCCTCCAGCTACTCTCTTGCTAGAAGTAACTCTAATCTTCAATACCTGAGCAATATCGTATAAAACATCATTCCAACAGAAGGGTGAGAATTCACATAATTATTAAAATTATATAATAACATATAATACATATCATACATGCATAAATATAATATCCTCACACTTCATTTGCTTTATGAACATAACATCATCCAATAAAATCATATTATTCACGAGTACACATTCACAATTTCACAGTTTCACCAATACATCAATCTCACACAATGCACCCAACTTCGTATTCCAAACATAGGCACAATATGACTCAATGCAAGACTCAAATATATTGCTCATGCATGTGGTACCAATCACTGTTATTTTTATGCGATTTTTACTTTAAACCGAGTTTCATTCCCTATACCAATAACACGCAAAAGCCTGTTCCCTAAGCTTTCAAACCTCGCTCTAGGTTTGGGACAAGTAACTAGCTCCAGGTGTTTTATACGATGTCTATGTCCTGGTGGTCAATTTGAGTATAAACACAATCGATGTTTCATTCCTCTAATGATGTTTTCCAATACGCAGAGAGAAATGGTTGGAGGAAGAAATGATGATGCAATTGATGAGGCTTTGGAGTCATTGGCTCAGGAAATGGCCCAAAATCAGCAGAATCCTTATAAAGTTATAGGGAATGATGAGTTACATGCTTTAAAAAGGTTTCAGCAAAACAAGCCGTCGATATTTAAGAGCATACATGATCCTGATGGTGCACATGTATGGCTTAGAAAGATAGAGAAGATCTTCATAGTGATGGTCTGCTTAGAGGAGAAAAAGGTACAATTTGGTACCCACATGTTGGAAGCAGATGCTTAAGATTGGTGGGATAACACAAGTCAGAGGATGGAGATTTAGGGTGTTGAGGTCACTTGGGTTGTTTTCAGAGTTGCATTCTTGGAGAAGTACTTTCCTGAATATGTGAGTGGAAAGAAGGGGATTGAATTCCTTGAGCCAAAACAAAGGAATTTGACTGTTATTGAATATGCTACCAGGTTTGAAGAGTTAGTAAAGTTATGTCCGCATCATAAAAATATGACAGTTGAGGCATCTAAGGGTATCAAATTTGAGAATGGGTTGCGTCTAGAGATTAAGAAGGGAATTGGATATCAGGAGATTCACCAATTTCATATACTAGAAAATAAGTACAAGATCTATGATCAGGATACAAGAGCCAAATCTTCCTTCTATAAGAGTTTCAATGAGAAGAAACGGAAGAACCAGGATTGTGGTAAGCAGAATAGTGCTTCTGTTGACAAGGGGATTTAGAAAGTTTCTGATGAGAAGAAGCCAGGTAGGGGAGGAGGTCCTACTTCTTTTAAGTTCTTTAAGAGTGGCGAACAAGGCCGCTGTGCTGATAGTTGCAACAATAAGGTGAAGTGATGTTACAAATATGGTAAGACATGTCATCGTCCTTCTGAGTGCAAGAATGAGGGTCCAACTTGTTTCAACTGTGGTGAACAGGGGCACATCGGTACCCAGTGTCAAAAGTCGAAGAAGACTGCTACTGCTACCGAGACTAATGGCAGAGTGTTTTCTTTGAATGGTTCAATGGTTCCCAAGAAGGATAATCTAACTTAAGGTTCTTATTTTATTAAAAATGCTGAGTTGAATGCTATTATTGATACTGGTGCTACTCATTCGTTTATTTCGCTTGAATATGCCACCATGTTGGGATTGAAATTGTCTTCTATAAAGGGTAGTATTGTGATACACACTCCTGCTAAGGGTTCTGTTACTACTACTTTTGTTTGTTCAAGTAGTCCTTTAACTATCATTGGTAAGAGTTTCATGATGGATTTGGTGTGTCTACCCTTGCACCAAATTTATGTTATCCTTGGAATGAACTGGTTGGAGTTCAACTGTGTTCATATCAACTGTTATAATAAGACTGTGAGATTCCCTAAGATTGGTGATAATGGAGAGTTGATGTTTCTATCTACTAAGCAAGTGGAAGGACTATTAGAAGATAAGGCCTTGATGTTTTTAATGTTTGAATCATTTCAATTTTATCATGAAACTGCAAGTATCGAACTACCTGTTGTCGGTAATTTCCCAAAGGTGTTTCCAGATGACATCACTGATTTACCTCCAGATTGTGAGGTAGTGTTTTCTATAGAGTTTGTACCAGGTACAAGTCTGGTGTCGATAGATCCTTATAGGATGTCAGCTTCTGAGTTGAGTGAATTGAAGAAACAATTGGAAGAATTAATTGAGAAGAAGTCTGCTTGACCGAGTGTTTCTTCGTAGGGTGCTTCTATGTTATTGGTCAAGAAGAAGGATGGTAGCATGAGGTTATGCATGGAGTAGAGGAAGTTGAATA